ATTTTATTTTTGGTGCATTGTGAATTCATTGAAGAAGTTTTGAACAGAGAAGTGACACAATCCTTTATATATTTTGAATAATTATTCTACCTGGAAAGAATTGGAAGAAAGCGATGATGAAAGTTGGAACACAGGTGAAAGAGCTATTATAGATGACGGGGGACCCTAGGAGGATGGGAGATTGAGAGAGATGACTGGATTTAAGGTATATTTTGACATTGTTCAGATTTAATGATGGACTAGATAAAGAGTTCTGAAGGAAAGGAGGTGTTAAGAATAGCTCCTACTTATGCCTGTAATCTCAGCACTTTGGGAGGCCAAGGCAGGAGGATTGCTTGAGGCCAGGAGATTGAGATCAGCGTGGGCAATATAGCCAGATCCCATCTCTACTAAAAGAGAAAAAAAAAAGAATAGCTCCTGGATTTCTAGCTTGAACAACTTCTTGGATGGCAGTGGCTTCAAAAGAGTTAGGGGAACAAAGGCTGGAAGAAAAGCAATTTTGTGAGTAAAAGCTAAGAGTCAGTAGGAATCATCTCATTTTTAAAATGTAGGAATTCCTCTAACATAATCAAGTAGAGGCATTAATAGGTCATTAGATAAAGGAATCTGGAGCTCAAAACAAAGAAGATAAAACTGTGTGAGTTTGTCAGTATCAGTTAAGTCATGCAAATAGATGGGGTTATATGGGAAGACTGCAGAGATAGAAGATGGTTCAGGACTAAATCTTGTAAAATGAAGCATCTCTCAGGCTAGCCCAGGTTGTGCTGTGGTAATGAACAATCTTCACATTTCAGTGGCTTAGAACTAAGAGTGCGTCCTGGTATTCTATTGGGGTTTCTATTTTGGGTTGTCCTTAACCCGATAATATTCTGAAATTTAAAAAATAAATAAACCTAAAAAAAAGACTCAGGCTGATGGAACGGCCACCACTTTGAGCTCTGATCTTCATCATGACAGAGGGAATGAGTTATGGTAAATTTTATACTGACTCCTAAAGCTCTGGGGTGGATATAGAAAATGTCAGTCTGCTTCATTTCATTGGCCAGAGAAAATTACATTGCCTCATCTAACACCAAAGGTGGGAAAATGATATCCTCTCACATACCTGGGAGGAGAATCAGATATATTTAGTAGAAGACACTAATCACAATCACAAACAGCTTTTTCTTGCCCCCTCCCAAAAGTAACATTTTTCTATATTTTAAGTATTTTGTGCTAGTTTTTCGAATCGGAAATACATGTAAATGACCCAAAATCCAAAAGGAAAGAAACATTACTCTCATTAGTAGAAAATTTTTCTCCCTCTCAGCGCATCTCAGCAACCCAGTTTGCTTTTCCAGAAGTAAGCAATGTTACCAATATCCTGTGAATCCTTTCCTCTACTCTGTGCATTAGTGAACATATCTATTAAGCCTTTTTTTACCCTTCACTTTTTCTCATTTAATATACATTGGAGACTACTTTATTTCAGAAAGAGAGTGCTGCCTCATTCTATTAAATAGCTATATAGTAACCCAAGATTATGAACCTGTAATTTATTTAACAATCCCTTATTAGTATACATTTGGGGGTTTGTTTTCAATATTTTTCTTTTTAAAAGAAATACTGTAATTAATGTCCTTTTACATATGTCATTTCACAGGTGTGAGTACATCTGTTGAAAAATGATCTCACTTAAGAGTTTGGTAGAGGAAGAACTGGGAAAGCAGTTCACTGATTCTGTGATGCAAAAGTCATGATGATCCCAACAACAGTAGCATGGACCTGGCGGCAGAAATCTGACCAAAGTATCCTTTCAGATGATTTTGGGACCGATTGATTTAATAAAGAAATTCATTGGCTCACCAACTAACAAGAAAAGCCTTGGAGTAGTGTTTACTTGTAGTTTGATGAGTTTCTTCTGCTACTCTTTCGGCTCTGTCCTGAGTGATGCTTCATCCTTTAGACTAGATTTCCTTGCAGTGGCCAGATGACTGCAGGCATTGCATTTCTTCAATACATTGCCTCTACCCACCAAACGAGATTTCTCCACTTTCTCCTGACTGGGCTCTGCGGTCATGGAGCCACAAGGAGTCAATCACTGGGAAAACAAGAGCAGGCCCACAAGAACTGGCTTAGACTCCAGGGGGCTGTTGCGGGGGAGGGTGCTTAATCTCACCCCAGTCGTGGTGCTGCTGGTCAATGGGTGAGGAAAGAATTGACACTGAGACAGAATATCAATGTTTTCTGGTAGGAACGACTGAGAGATGAGAAAGTAGAAACGGTGTGCAAAGACAATCTTGGGAAAACGTTGGCAAAGAAGCACTCGCGGGAAATCTTTTCTCTCATGTTTCCAGGCTTGATTAATGCTTTTAATGAATGCCTTCATTTGGTTGAGGGGGTAAGAAAAAAAGAACTTTAGTTTCTACATACTGTACAGGTATGGTGCTTTATTTATTTATTTATTCTAGTCAATGCAGAGTAGATGTACATAGTTTGGGGACACACGATAATTTAATGCATTCATATAATTTGCAAAGATCAAATCAGTGTACAGTTTTTCATATGTGCAATTTACTTAGGCCTCATGATAACCATGGCAAACGGTAATGTCTTTATATTACAGGATCTTAGGCTCAGAAGGATGAATTTTCACACGATCCGCAACTGGTGGACAGCAGCACCGAGATTCTACTCCAGAACTTTCTGGCTTCAAAGATTTTGTTCTTCTCAAGGCTATGTTAACAGATCATAAATCAGCCTAATCTAGCTTAAGTTTGTCTCCAGTATGCTCTAGTTAATGTCTTTGCTTTTGGGGGCACAAAAATTTGATGATACTGAGGTTCTCTGTGATTGCTGAGTTGTTCCCGTCACGGTGTTTCTGATCCCTCAGTGTGTGAAAATGTCTGAGGACAGTTAGCACTGAGACAAAATAGCTTCTGACTAAGAATTCTGACCCTAGCTCAAGATTCATCTTCGGAACTACTGGAGAAGTATTGGATTCATGGCATTTTTTTTTTTGTATGTTTGGTGATATTAGACTTGGCAACAGTAAGTGGCATCCTTTGGATATATGAAGACAGGAGTAATCCAACTCTTGTATTCTATCATCCCCTCAACATTATGTGACCTCCCCGGACACTTCCTTCTTCAGTGTCCCTGGTTCAGATAACAGCACCACCTTCTCATGTCTTTATTTCAAAACTCAGCCATCTTTGGATTCTTTATTTTTCTCACAGCCACATTCCCTCAGTTGCCATATCTTGTGTGTTCTGCCTGTGCCCTGTCTAGAGAGGGCGAAATGAAGGGTACAGCAGGAGAGTGGCAGAGTGGATGGGAGGAGACACGCATGACAGATGTCCCTCTATCTCCATAGTTGTCTACCTATCAGTCTGTGCTCATGTCATCTTCCCTCTCACCAATTTTCACCTTCTTCTTTACCTGTGGAAGACCAGCTGTCCTTCAAAGCCTGAATTATTTTCCACTTTGTCCGTGGTACCTTCCCACATGAAATTAACTTCTGACATGGGCTTAGCCAGTCTTGGAATCAATTTTGGCCTGACCAATTTCTCAGAGCAGAAGATGTCGAACCAGAATCTGTTCAGACCAGGACCTGGGGCAGCTGGTGTCAGGAACCCGTCACAGATTCGGGAGCTGATGAGGAGCTACACTCCAGTGGGCAAAATGCACCTTTAGAAGGGGCATGAAGCAGAGTCC